ATCATATGGTATAATATGTAGGGAATGAAAAAAAGAAGAAGGTATTGCATTCATTGCAAAAGAATCAATTTCAAGTTCTATCCTGAAATACAATATTGTGAGTGATAGGATAATATTCATATGCATACAAGGAAGATCTGTTAACATGACTATTACTCAAATTTATGCTACTACATCTAGAGCTGCCTTTGAGGGTAAGAGATATGTGAGAAATAAGTTCTTGAAGGAATTTTACTTGTGTCTCTGGCGCTTCCCAGATCAATGTACACAGAGAATGAAGGGAAAAAAAACTAACACAGAGAATGATGCTTACTTCTTGCATGAATATTGAAGAGAGCAAAAGGTAGCAGCAGTAAAACTGAGCAGGCTGTGAGTACTGGTTCTTGGAAAGAAGAGGATCCTAATTTTTTTTGCAGTGCAGGGAAATTATAGAACAGGATCTCAGAGGTTCCCTTGGTTTCCTTCAATGGAACAAGGAGAACGGGAGGCGATAAAAGCAGTGAGTATCTGGGCAGGCAGCCAAAGAGGACTGGTGCATACATGAAGGATTCTAGGTGTGGGTCTGTTGCCTTACCACTTTTTAACTTCCTCCATTAAGACTCCAGCTCCAACATGTTCTGCTTCTGCTTTTTGAATGTGCCTCATTCCTCCCAGACTTATAAGTTTTGACCCCAAAATAAAACTTTTTGCTGTTGAGTCAAATCTCTCCCTCCATAATGGTGAAGTTAAGTAATAATAATGTTCTATGAGTTTCTGAGGATACAAATCTTTATGGGAGGAGACTTCTTATTTTTTTGTCCTGTGGTGTAATTGGTGGATATAAACCATTGACCTTCGGTTGACGATCCCATAGACTACCAGGGTTCCCACCAGCATTTATATTTTCTCAACAGTTCTGACCTTTAACTTTCACATGACTTCTTGTCATTCAGAATGGCTAAAGTAGCCTATTCTTTTCCTATCACTCTCTAGTTCTCCCTAGTATATTGTTTTTATTACACATATGATGACGTGTATATATTTGTGTAATTGTTTGTTCCTATACCTCTACACTACAGAGCTTTGATGATATATAGTCCATAGAGTCCATAGAGTGATGTTGTTGTTATGTGCCATCGAGTTGCTTGCGACTCACAGCGACCCTGTGTACAACAGCCCTAAACTCTGCTCTGTCCTGTGCCAGTCTCACTGTCTCCAATACACCCATCCTGGTTACCCCAGTCACCGAGTCAATCCATCTCATAGAGGGCCTTCCCCCCTGTGCCGTCCCTCCACCCTCCCAAGCATGATTTCCTTCTATAAGGACTGGTCCCTCCTTACAAAATGTCCAAAGTATGTCAGACAAAGCTTCAGAATCCTTGCCTCCAGGGAGCAGCCTGGTTTAACCCTCTCCACGATGAATCTGTTTGTTTTCTTAGCAGTCCATGATACTCTCAATACTCTTCCAGCACCACAGCTCAAAGACATCAATTCTCCTTCTATCCTCCCTAATCATTGTCCAACTCTCTGACACATAACAAGTGATTGCAAAGACCATGGCCTTTTTCAGCTACACCTTAGTCTGCAGAGTGACACCATTACTCTTCAGTACTTTGGAAAGGTCCCTAACAGCAGACTTTCCCATCACAATGCATCTTTTTATTGTCCTGGCTGTTGGTGCCAAGAGTGTTGACTATGGAGCCAAGCAAACTAAAGGTGTGAACAATCTCAATCTCTTCACTATCCATCCTGGTGCTACCGATTGGTCCAGTGGTGAGAATCTTTGTCTTCTTGACATTGAGCCTCAATCCATATTGAAGGCTGCAGTCCTTGACCCTCTGCAATAAGCATTTCAGGTCCTCCTCAGTTTCAGCAAGCAGGGCTGTGTCATCTGCATAACGCAGATTGTTGATAGCTCTTCCACCAGTTCTGACCCCCACATTTCTCCTCATAGAGCCCAACCTACTGAATAATCTGTTCTGCGTACAGGGTGAAAAGGTATGGAGACAGGACACTACCCTGGCGTATGCCCTTCCCAATTTTGAACCATGCAGTGTTTCCTTGCTCTGTTCTGACAACTGCCTCTTGGTCCAAGTATAGGTTTCTCATTAGAAAGATCAAGTGTTCTGGGATTCCCATTATTCTCAGAGTCAGCCACAGTTTGTTATGATCTACACAGTCAAATGTCTTTGCATAATCAATGAAACACAAATAGACCTTCCTCCGGTATTCCCTGCTTTCAGCTAAGATTCATTTAACATTAGCCACAATACCCCTAGTACCACGACCCCTTCTAAACCCAGTCTGGACTTCTGGTAGTTCTCTGCTGATGTGCTGTTCCAGTCGTTTTTGGATAATCTTCAGTAGACTTTTGCTTGCATGTGAAATCAATGATATTGTTCTACAGTTTCCACACTCTGTTGGGTCAGCCTTCTTTGGGCTGGGAACAAATACAGATCTCTTCCAGTCAGTTGACCAAGTAGTTGTTCTCCAGATTTCTTGGCACAACTTGGTGTGCACATCCACAGCAGCATCTGTTTGCTGAAAAAGAGTGATTGATAGACTAATCAAAAAGGCTGTATGTCTCCAAGTGTTTTAGTTAAACTCAGTATTTTGGTGTTATGTGCCATTAAGTCACTTGGAATTAATAGCAATACTCTGCACAAAAGCTTGAAATCCTGTGCTATCCTGAGTCAATCTTACTGTCTCTGACACATCTGACCCCAGTCACTGTGTCAATCCCTCTCATCAGAGTTTTTAACCATAACAGGGACCAGCTAGTGAGAGTTGAGCGGGAGGTTCTGGTAGGGCAAAGTGAGGGAACATAGTGGGATACTGGTAGATTGGGGCCAGGCAGGGGCATGAGATTATAACACATGTGCTGAAGCAGGGTTCGGTTGGGGACTGAGAGAGTGTGCACACTGAATCTGTTAGCTTATTAATGGAGAAACATCTTTCATCTTTTGGATAAAATACTTGTCTGTTGGGTATTGTTCTGTAAGCTTTCCAAAGCGAGACAGATGAGGAAGAAGGATTGGTCATCCATGTCTGAAATAATAGGCCTTAGAAAACCCTCAGTATAATAGAGTTCACAAATTTATATAACATCTACTTTCAACAATCTGAAGCTGAAAACAAAGTATTTGAGATTTAAAGCTAAGATTCCAGCTACCACTAAAAAATTAGGAATAATAGTAGCAAATTATATTAAGACAAGCATATAATTTGACAGTTGCTGTTGACATCTCTTAGATAATAAATATTAAAATAATTTTATGGGTTTAACTTTGGGAGATTTCTGTAAAGTCCCTATTTATCTCAACTTCTTGAGTATCTTCAAATAAAAGAGCTACCAAAGACAAAACAACAAGGTTGTTTTGCGCCTTTCAGTCAGAACCAATCCATAGCTGGCCCTCTAGTGGGTTTTTAGAGGCAGTTAATTACATGGGAGGAGACAGTCCATCCGTCTTCCACAGAATGGCTGGATGAATTAGAATTGTGTGCCTTTGGAATTGCATCATAGTTTATTGCCTCTACGCCACCAGAGCTCCTTCTATAAGGAAGGTAGAAGCACCATTTCTCTTGCTCAATATTTTCATAAATATTTTTTGGATATTAATATCAGAGTGACATTTAGTGAGTTTCTTCATATTTCTACTGGAGAGTGGTTTTCAGCTGCAATGGCAAATTGTTGATAAAAGTAAAAATTTACTAAAGGCACACTTTCTTTTTCTCTTTCAAAATAAGAAAAAATTAAATAAAACATAAAATGCAAGTGAAAAAGAACAAATGTTTGGAAAGAAAATGTATGAATCAATAATAGAAGCCTGAAGTCATGGCTGAATAACATGCCAAAGGTCACAATCGCTGCAAACAGAAATTAACAAAAAGAACCTCTGTTTCTTAATGACAAGAAGCTTAGCCTTCAAACTTAAATGTCATAATCTTTGCTTCTCTTTTTTTGGACTGGTTTCAGTTGGTACAATATGTCATCTGTAGGGAATAGCAAATGAATGTCACTAAAAATAGAACACTGAAAAATGTTTTCTTTCAATACAAGTCATTCACTTAGATAACTGGGAAAGATGTACAGATAAGCTTTCTTCATTAGAATTTCCTGCTATTGGAAGAAAATGTTAATTTTTAATGATTTAAAATTATAAAAAACAAAAATTTATTCTTTTTAGAAGACTACCTTCAAGATGGTGAGGGAAATGAATCAAAAGACTATTTGTCTGGCCTTAACCAAAACACTTCACTGCATCTAAAAAGGGAAAAGGAAAATAATAAATGTTAACAGTTATTGAATAGTAACAAAGTGCTAGGCTTTGTTCCAGCCACTCATATTGTAAGTAAATGAAAACTCATCTGAGAAGTTACTGACTCCTAGTGACCCTCTATCAGATTTCTGAGGGTATAAGTCACAATAAAAACTGATTGCTCATTTTTCATGTGAAGAACTGGTGGTAGATTTGAAGCGTCAAAGCTGCACAGCCTTTGGTAAGAGCACTGGACAGCCCATGGAGGACCAAAAGAACAAACAAATATGCGTTGGAGAGGATGTAGCCAGAATGCTCCTTGGAAGCAAGGATGATGAGGCTTCTTCTCACTTACTGTGGGGCTAGGGAGGGCTAGTTCTTGAAGGGGGATGTAATGCTGGAAAGGATGGATGGTTGACGAAGGAGAGGAAGATCTTCAACCAGGTGGACTGACACGGTGACTGCTGCAATGGGCTCTACTAGTGTGTCATGAAGTGTGAGGATGGCATAGGATAGGATAAGGTTTACATTCACTGTTCATAGGGTTGCAATGAATCGGACTTGAAGGCACCTAAGAATAGCAATGTCATCAGAGTTCCCTCTAGATCTTGATATGTGTAGTTATTTTGTAGAAATGACACCACTTCCATATAATGTAGCATGTTCTTTCAATAAGTAGAAGGAAAATTAATATAAAAATACTTATAAAATTAGAGACATTGCTTTAAAAAAGTTAGAAATAGGGAATGTCAACTATTCAACATGGAGGCGGAGGTCGATAAACTGGAACTGATGTTCCAGAAAGCTGACTCTGATCTGGATTGCATTCTATACAGGCTGGAATATGAAATTAAGAACAATCATCCTGATTCAGCTGGCAAGAAAAATCCAGTTACACTCTTGAAGGAATTGTCAGCAATAAAGTCTCGCTATCAGACTTTGCATGCACGCTTTAAACCACTTGCTGATGAACAGAAAGAGACTAAGGG